CCCAGGTCAGAACAGAGGGAAACCCAGCTGCCTCCCTGCACAGTGCTCATGTGGGGTTGGCTTTGCAGGGCTGAGATCCTGCTGGTGGTAAATGGTCAGGAGGACTTGAAGGCTGCATGCAGCCTGATTGCATCTGTGCTGGTTTGTAGATGTTGGATCACTGGTGGCTTCAGTGTGCCCACAAAGAATTGCTCCTGTATCCCTGTCCTTCCCTGCTGCTTCCATTGCATTTGTAGCGTCGTATTCCGCAGCTAGATGATGAGTGTCTAACTGTTCTTGTGTTAATGCTTGGGTTCAATTCATTTAAAAAACTGATAAGAAACAGTATTTCACGTCTTGAAATAGTGGAGGTACTCAAAAAGCCTTTTGTGTTCAGAGCAGACCTAATAGCCGTGTCTAGCTGGGAGAATGCTTGAATAACTACGACTTTTAAAAATGTCTGTGCTGCATGCACCAGTGTTCAGTGGTCACAGCGTTACACGTCAGGATAGACCACGTGGAACGGGAACCAGGGGAGGATGACAGGTTATATTTGCTGTTGCAGAGGCTCAGAGCACTCTGTGCCATTAGGCAAAGCTCCTGCAGCGTATGCAGCCGTGGTGCTCTCTGCCAGGTTGGAAGGTGGGAGTTCAGCTTTGGAGCTGGGGCTGTGGCTCGAAAGAGGTGGGTGGCAGAAGGTGTCCGCAGTGGTGGTGGATGCACTGTTTTGGGAAGTCCCTGACGTTCAGTCCTATGGGTTGTTCAGCAGCGTGCTGTTCCTGGGAGTGCCTTTGGATCTTAGCAGCTCTTCACCGCTGGCTTTTAGATAATCAAACTATGTTGGGTAGGTGGCAGTCCTGATAGCAGCTTTCGTTGCCTTCAGTGAACTGGAAAAGCATCCCAAAAAGTGGAGGCTGCAGAGGAAGGGTGGGTGCTGGCTCCCCGTGCTCAGCCTTGTGACCAGTTCTCCAGCAGACGTGTCGGTGGTCAGGCCCAGCCCAGCCCATATTGGGGCACTTTGGCCATTGCTGCTCTGAGGATGCTGTGATGGATCCATGGCCCATCAGCAGTGTCTCCCCGCCTGCGCCCGATGTTGGGTGGGCTGTGGCCACAGGTGCAAATCCTTGCCCCATAAGGATGGTCAGGTTTCTTGGAACGTTTGTTTGGGGAGCCTGAGGTGATAGATACCATTTTCTCCCTCCTTTGGCCTTCTTTTGTAGCTGTGCTGGGTGCTGGTCCCTATTCACCAGCCTTCATGGCGCATTTGCTTCGTATCTTTGGGATTGAATTGTACAAATAGTTTAGTCAGCACTGAGAGTCCTGAATACACGTCGTTAATTTCTTCCAGTGTGGGATTTGCGCTCAATTCTTTATTTTCCCATATATCCAATAAATATTCAAAGCACTGGGCTAAGGAGTATTCTGCAGAACGAACCTCTCAATCTTTTTCTACTGGAGTTGTTCTACTTAATAGGAAAAACATGCGCTTCAAGAGCAAAGTGATAGGAAAAAATAACTACAGTGGATGGTGGAGAGGACTCCTGGGATGGACAAAGTGAGACAAAGATATTCTGGATTCTAATTCTGTCTCTCCTGAATATTTATTTGTGCAAAAAAAGGACAGGTTCAATAGGAGATGCAGCCCAAGGTCTTCCTCTGAAGTGCTCTGGAGCTCATCTTGGAAGCAGTGTCAGCTTCCAATGACAACCAGCTGCGATGTCAACCAGCAGAAGCACCAGGTCCTGCGGTGGGCACCATCCATGCTCATGCTGTAGGAATGCAGGAGGGCCCACACGTTTTGGGAGGTGGCAGAGCTGCGTGCTGAGCTGGTGGGACGTTGCTGGTGGGGCTCCATGTCCTGTGGGGCTGCGGAGCTGAGGTGCTTGGACCCCAGTGAGGTGAGGGCAGCAGCCAGGGCTCCTGAGGGGCTGCCATGAGCTCACTGAGGGTGACTGGTGCTGGGGTGGGTGATCACATCACATGTGAGGAACGAGGTGCTCTGATGCCATGTTTTCCTGTTGCTTTATCCCAGACTTCGCTCAGATGAGCCTTTAACTATTCCTGGTTCATCTGAATCCCTAAATCTCCTGTTTAGCTCCAGCCTTTGGTGGGGGAATTGAGAAGAGTTTTATCACTCGTTTATGTAAGCTTTTGTCACCGAATAGTTAGATTTATGCAGTGTAGTTAAGTCAGATGTAGGGGATGCTGTTAACTCAGAGAGAATGACCCAGGGGACGGAAGGAAACTTCAGCTAAAGAAACATTTTATTTCAGGCTTGGATGAGCGTTATACCAAACAGAGTTGTGCACCTCTAAGAGGGTAAAGAATTACAGCAGTGCCTTTCTGGCTGTAGCATTAATGATGTTGCTCGAGTGTGTTTTAAATTCTATGTCTGTAATTGGCCAGAAATTGTCTGCAAACATCAGGTTGCTGCTTTCTGACCAGAGCTTGGCCTCTGCCCCTCACGCTGTATGGAGGAAGGTGTGAGGAGCTTCTGCCCTTCAGCAGGAGGTCCTGATGTTGTTTGGTTTATCTGAGCTTCTCCTGTGCTCTTGCAGCCAACCCAAGGGGCTCACTCCTGCTTTGCAAGAGTGCAGCAGTGTCCAGGGGGAGCACAACCAGTGCCGTGGTCTTAGGGGAAGCTGGGAAGGAGCAGGGCAGCGTCCTCAGCTGGGTGATGGTGGTGGTGGGAGCACCAGCAGTGAGCGGCGGAAGCTGGGATTATTTAAAAAAATCTATCCAGGAATGAGCTTTCTTGGGGACCAGGGAGACAGATGTGCTCCTTTGTTACAGCCCATGTGGAAGCTCAGGAGGTAGATGTGTGAGTGAAATGCAATGAAGGATCGCAGCATAAGCAAGAACGGTGAGGGCTTTGGTGTATGGCATTGCTCCTGTTTGAGAAAATACTGGGGATGTTTGCAGAAATCAGGTGTTCTGTGGCTTTCTGTTCTTCACCAGTAGTAGGCTTTGCATCTCAGGCTGAAAGGGACACAGGCCTGAATTCCCAAGCCTAGAGGATGCTCTTACTTGGGATAAATCTCAGGAGAAGTTTGTCTCTTTCTGGTTGGCAGCTCTGTGAGCGTCGATGTTAATCTTTTCTGCCTGGATCCAGATGGCATTTCATGTAGCTTTATGTACCAGTGGGTGAGCAACCTCTGGTGCTGCGTGGGCTGCTCACGTGGATGCTGGTTCTTGGCATGGTTTTTCCTCTCTGTTCACTAAATCCTTTCATTGATTCTCCTTAAATCCAGCCTTAGGTGCACAGGCATTACTTTGAGTACAGTAAAAGAACCTAAGAGACAAAAACCTGTCTACCCCGATCTCTGTGGCTTTGCAGGTTTCAAGTGTTACAAGCATGCTAAGTCTGAGTTAAATTATTGCATCTCATGCAATTGCCAAGGCAAGCATTGTATTTTACTTTTGCTCTGAAGAAAAGGGAAAGATGATCAGAGAGAGGAGTGTCTTTCTTTTTTCTCCTCAGGATTGAAATCAAACAGGATCTGTAGAGCTGGACATGCTATGGAGGAACTCTGCTATATATATATTCAAGACAGTTTAGAGTCAAATAGTGTGAATTAATGAATTGTATCAGAAGGAGCTATGGAATTCAAATCTGTGTGGAAAGATTATAATCTCATGGCTGTGACAGAAGCTGCCCTCACAACACGCTGATAATGCCCGTGAAAAGCTAAGTGAGATTGAAAAGCTGCACAAGCAGAAAATTGACAGCAGTTCTGTCTGTGTTGGCTGGATGTGGGGCTGGCTGCAGGGAACTGGAGATTTTCTGTCTTGCAGACCTCTGTTTTTTGGAGCAAAGTAAATAACCTGAAAGGCTGGAGCAAGTCTGTGAATCCTGAACAGAGGTCAGCAATGCAGGTGGCTGCCTTGAGGATGGGTTGTTCAGATCAGCTGTCTGGTAGAAGCAAGCAGTCCAACACAGGAAAGCTTTTAACTTCCACAGCCACGTCTGTTTAAAAGGAGTTTTAAAGGAGCAGCTGAGAGTGTGGTGCTTCCAGGCAACGCAGCTTGGGAAGGACAAAAGCCATCAGGATTAACAGTGTGAGTGAGAGAGAACCGTCCAGGTTATCTTCTGCACAAGAGAAGGAACCAGTCAATGTGTTCTGATTGATTCTAGAACCACAAGATATGCTAAAAAGGTTCTGATGAATTGACAGCCATAACATAACGCACTCTGAAAGCTAAGAGCTGGCACTTGTCCTGTTTTTGTAGTTAGTGGGTAATCAGTAGTAGAATAATAGCGATCCAAGTCATGGTCGAGAAAGTGATGTTGGAGAAGAGCTGGATGCAGTGAGTGCCTCAGGCTCTGCTGGTGGGAATCACCTGAGCTGCTGTCACAAATGGGGGTCAGCAGAGGACGGTTTGAAAAATGGGCCAGGTGAGAACATGGCAGGAGCAGATGGTGGAAAGCAGAACTTTGGTGGGAAAGGAACTTAAATGTGGACTGTTAACTACAACAACAATGTCTTTGAAATCAGTCTTGGTGTTTTGTTTGAGTTGAGGGAGGCTTCCAGTGGTCCAGCTGGTTAAGTTTTGGTCCCGTGTGGGTCAGTGCCTCTGAATCAGGTCAGGAAAAGGACCGAATAGTGCAGTGATAGTGTGATTGTATGTGTGTTACTGCTCTACAGAACCTGCACAGAGAAGGTTCTCCAGGAACAACTGTGCAGCACTTCATACAAGACTCACAGCTATGGGATTAATGGGTTGTAGTGGGATTAGTGGGTTGTAGATTCCCCTTCTGTTCTCTGAGCCGCTGTGCCACTTGTTGTGTCTTCACAAGAAGACCTACCAGCGATATTTGAAGAATGTGTGCAGGCAAGGTAATGTTAATTTGGAAGCATATTTTCCGAATTCAAAGGCATTTATAAAGTCTTTGTTCTCATGCATCTTCATTCACTGGCACAGGTTGCCCAAGGAGGCTGTGGATGCCCCATCCCTGCAGGCATTCAAGGCCAGGCTGGATGTGGCTCTGGGCAGCCTGGGCTGCTGGTTGGCGACCTGCACACAGCAGAGTTGGAACTGGATGAGCTCTGTGCTCCTTTGCAACCCAGGCCATTCTATGATTGTATAATCTTCTCTGGGAAGGGGGTGAATGCCTCCCACTGTTTGGGAAAATGAGCCCCTTGAAGTTTGCTTTGTGTGTACTCTTGTCCTGCTTTCATCAAATGTACTTGGTGCTGCAGGCAGCTGTGTGTGGTGTTCTCTACCTGCAGGGCTGTCTCCAGGAAGGTTTTCTTACACAAGCAGCGAGAACAGCAGAAACAGCCAGAGTACTGCAGGTACTTGCATTTCTGTCAAAAGGACCACAAAATTAGAGCCTTACTCCTGGGTATGGTTGTGATTTAAATGCTCAACTTCCAGTCTCTCCAAAACATTGTGCAGATATGGACATTTTTATTAAATTGTTGCAGTACAACACTGACAGGATGCAAGAGCAGCAGAGCCAGCGAATGAAGTGTGCAAAGCAGTGCAAGGCAGCAGAGAAAGCTCAGTTGCAGCTCGTTACACTGCTGCTAATGATTGGGTAACCACTGCAAAATCAATGATGTTGCCACCTTCTGCAGCCTTCTGCTGCTGGAAATGGGGCTGTTGGTGCTAACTGTATTAAGGAGTGAAAAACAATTATGAAGTTTCTACTTGGAATAAAAAACCTCGTTTGGCATTGGAGGGTGAGCACCATGTAACGCAGCAAGCTGCAGCCTTGTTGGCAGCAGAACTGCATTCCTGTGAATAGGTGCACATCTCTGATTCAGGACAGTGCCGTGGGAGGTGGGGAAAACAAACCAGGTGAGAGGCTTTCTCCTTCAGGGTGTGCTGGCACAGATATAATTGACGTGCCCTCGGGTTTCTGATAGCCTGAGCCTGCCAGTAAATAGCTGCTGTGAGGAATGGTTCATAATAATGGGCCAGCTGAAATATTTCCCAGTGCTCATACCCACTTTCTCATACAGGAGAACAATAGCTAATCCTGCAGTGTTTCCTGACTTAATGGGCATCTGCCCTTAAGCAGCATCCTGTGCTGATAATTAAATCTGGAAGTAAGCAAACTTTATGTCAAATGATGGAGACTTAAACAATTGAAAAACAAAGGAATGGTCCTGAGTGACGTATGCTGTGTATAATCAGAATAAAGAAATCTATCGTATTTTGTATTCTAGTTCCATCTTAAAATCATCTCCCTTGCTTGCCTAAGGCTAAACTTGAATATTGCTACTTCAGGGTGACACACCGAGGATTCGATCTGAGCAGGAAAGAAATAAAAATGAGAGAAGCTGGTGGTGCACGTTAGGAAGTTGACATGAAACCATATGACTAATTTTAGTTTTAAAATATTTATTTTCCTTCTCTTTTAACCTGACTTGAGCCTTCCTACACAAAGCTAAGAGAGGTTGTGACCTAGCACAGCATGGGTCCGCTTATTTTAAGGTGGAAAAAGTCGTTAGCTGTGTCCTGTGGAGACCTTGTGTTGAGGAAGGCAGATGAGGAGCCTGCAGATGGGTTTGGCTGTGTGCTGCTTCCATCCTTGCTTCTTGGAGCACTGGGGCTGCTTTGTGGGGCAGCCATGGCTCTGTGGGGTGGCTGGGGATGGGCTGGGATGCAGCTGAAAGAAAGCATTTGTTACAAAACTTGCATGAAGGACAAGGTTCTCATGGCCCAAGCTTGAAGAAAAAGCAGGTGCCCCAATCTGTTGAATCGTCTGGTTATTGCTGCCTCCTGTTGTGTTGTGGAAGGAATTGAGAGTAAAATGCTGGTTTTGCTGACTCATCTTGGGAAGCCTTTCAGCTATTTTGATTTCCTTGCAGCAGTTGAGCATCCTGTGTTGAAATATCATAAGGTGAGTTGATGCAGAATGCAGAGTGTCTGAGGGTCCCGGGGGGGGTGGGGAGGATGCTCACCTGCCTGGGGCCAGAGGAGCCCAGGGGGAGCAGAGCAGCATTCTGTTTTGAGGATGGTGTCCCAATGCAATGAATGGTTCTGTGCTGTTTTGGCAATCTTTGTCTGCTCATAAGCGTTATGAAGCTTTTGAGAATGTCTCATAGGAGTCGTTTCTGCAGATTTTTCTAGGTTAAGCTTTTATGTACGAACCTTACAATAGAAAAGTATGCTTAAAGAAAACGTTCCAACGCTTTAAAGGTTTGCACCAAAGTACTGTTATTCACAAGCACATGAGATCGTGTTCGATAGGCTGAGTATTGCCAGCTTGAGAACATCACGCTGCTTCTCTCGTCTCAAGGAAGGGCTGTAAGGACATGCAAGGACCCTCTGCGTGCTGCTGGGCTGCCCCTGCAGAAACAGACCTGCTGGGAATGGAGATGGGCCCGGCCACGTTCCGTCAGGCGCTGTGCGGTGCTCCGCCGCTGCTGAGCTTGAGTGGAGGTGAGAAGAACCCTAATAGAATTTTCTTGTGGCTCTCATGGCTTGCTCTCACAGCAGAGATTTCAAAGTGAATTTCATTAAGTATCTCTACTGGATACGTAGCAGTAAACATATAAAGCAGTGCTGTTATTCTGAGCTGGAACTTGTCTTACTCTGTAGCTCTGGTAACGGCTCTGCTTCGTGCCAGACTTAATTTCAAACAGCAGAAACTTTCATTTCCAGAATTAAAACCCCAGAAGACACAGAAGTGTGGTGTCTGTTGATGTGCCGATTATTTCAAGGTCAGGCGAGCGATCACTAATTGTGCCACTGTCACTGCGGTAATAATTTCATCTTGAAGTGAGGTTTCTTCACATACCTCTCAGAGCAGAATACAGAATCCAGTTGCTGATTTCTCCAGAGCCCCTCATTCACTCTGCATGCAGGGCACTCATGCCTGAGCCATCGTGGTCCTGTAGGTCCATGCGCACAGAACTGGGCTGGGGACCCTGCTTCTTGTTGGCAGCTGTTGGGAACCACCATAGGAGTTGAACCATAGGATTTCAAATGAACCTGAAATTGAAAACCAGTTTTTGAAATAATATTGAGTTCAGCTCTTCGCACTTACTGCTAAGGAGAAAGTGCTCTTGGCGTGGTGTTATTGAATTGTGACAAAATGCATGTTGAGGTTGGAAAACAACAGAATAGGGCTGAGTTTATGTTGATTTACTGCTTTTCACATCAGTGGGAAACGCTTCAATGTTAACATTTATTCAAAAGGTTTTTGCCAAGACTTTGAGCCTCATACATTAATAAGAGGCTGTAACAAGGACATCAAGATACACAATGTGTTTTTCATAAATGAAATCGTTGGCTTCCTTAACTGAAACTTTAATATGTGCAATGTATAACTGCAGTGCCTTACAGGGATTTCTTAACAAGAGCATTTTGGAGCAGCCACTAAAAAGCAGCAATCAGTAATAACAATGAGGGCATTAGCACTCAGACCAGAGTAAAAGCATCATTAGAGTGCAAGTTCTAAGGTACCCTACTTAAAATTTCCCTCATTACATGTGCAATTAGGGAATAAACAATAAAGCAGTGATTATTTTCCTGTGATTTCTTATCCTGACTACCTTTTAAAAGTGTAATTAATGTGAAGTGGGATGAGCTGAAGTGTGGTGAGCAGCTCTCCTCTAGAGCAATGGATGGATGGATCACTTCTTGCGCCTACCTGGCAGGGGCCTCTGCTCCTGGTGGTGGCAGAGCAACCTTTGTGCCTTTTGTTGTACCAGATAAGATGTTAATTAAGATAGTGCTCACCCAAGGGCTGATTTTAATATATATACACTGCTATTGGCGTATACATTTTGTAATCCATCATTCTGGCTTCATCTGGTTTATTTTAGGTATTGATTCGGCACAAACAGAAATTGGGGAGAAAATGCACTATGGCACCAGAATCGTTTCAGCAAGAATAAGTGGTATAAATGAGTGAAACGTGGTTCCTCTGTGCAGTAGGGTGTTTTGTTTCCCTGGAAGGGAATAATTAAACTTCAAGAAGGAAATACCTGGGTGGATTAACTTTTTCCTGAATGACAGTATTTGTAGAGGGGCGTTGAGGAGAAACACATCAGCATAGCAGTGCTCCTAGCAGTGAGCTGCCAGCAGGTATGGGAGAGAAAAGTCTTATTCTTTTTGCCTGTATTGTATTGCTGGGATTGACATCAGCTGGAGAGCATCTGGAATAGAAGAGGACAGGGATAACAGTAATTGTGCTGCATCTTGCAGGTGTTTTGGGAAGAAATCCACTTTGGAAGTAGTGCTTTAATGAAAAACTTTACCATAAACCCTGAGATATGAAAATTGATGGAAATGTGAACTCAAAAAAAAACATTTTTTTTTTTTTTAAAGCTGTTTAAAACTGTTAGTTTGAGTTAGTGTAAGAGAACTGTTCTGTCATGGCCTGAGTTGATGATTGATCACCTGGTGCAGGGGGTGGCTGGCCCAGGAAGCACGGGGGCATGCAATTCACCTCTGCTTCCCACCGGACTGGGGGGGACCCTTAATGAGCTCCCTGGGCTCACATAAAGGCTCACCCCTGGAAGGAGAAGGTCTGCTGGGTGAAGGCTGCTTCCTGAGAAGGAGCGTTCTGTTGCTAGAGGCCTGCTTGCCAGTCAGGTGAGTTAACTTTTTTCCTACATATGGTTATTGTTATTCCTAACAAACTTTGCCTGCTGTTGCAAAAAATGTATCAGAAGCAATTTTACTGCTTCCAAGGGCCAACAGATGGCTAGGTATTTCATTAACTCTGAGATTGGGCCTTGCAGATCTTGTCTAAGAACCTTTTTCTCGTCTATAGGAAAAAGAGGTTTCAGAGCATTCAGCATCTCCCCTGTGAGACACCTGTATGTGGTACCCGAGCAGCAAGGTGCCCACGTCTGCTTGGAGCTGCCCTGTGCCTGCAGTGTGCTGCCTGCACTGCCTTCACTTGGGTAGGTAATTTTGTAGTGATGGAGAAATGTGATTTCGTTGCAGATAACGGGACACGTTTATTTTTCCAACTAGTCATGTTTCTGTGAGATTTTTATCTGGTAATTGTGCTTGTCTGTGGTGTGCAGATTATTGCACCTGAGCCTGCTTAGCTCATGATGTCAGTCAGGATTGCTGTGCTAGGAGATGTGATTGACATGCTGGGTTCTTAGGGATCACCTTCAGCAAACCCAGCACCTGCAGCAGAGAAGTAGGGGCTGTGAAGCAGATACGAGTCTATGAGTGCATTGTAACCATGGCACTGTGGGGATGTGGGGCAGCTGTGTGGCCAGGCTGCAGTGAGGCTCTGTTCTGTGGCTCTGTGTTAGGTACACAGCTGCATCTGAATCTCCACAGGGTAATATGTTAAACCTCCTCCCTAACCTCTAAAGTGCGGAATGAGAACAGTGGAGAAGGAGCAAACAATTAAAGGCAAGACAAAAATACCTACTTGTCACAGGGAGGGTTCAATACTTTGTTTCTCTGCTAAAGGGGAAAAAGAAAAAAAAAAAAAAAAAGAGGGATATAAGCTCAGGTAGTAACTTTAAATTAGCTTAACTTGCTGATACCTTAAGGCTGAGGATTAGTGAATTTAATTATGGGAGCCAGGAAACGCATTAAGATAGCATTAGGCCTTAAACTGAGCCCCACGAGGGAATGAAATTAAAGTTGGTTTGTGCTCCCTCTCTATGCCATCCTGTCTGTGCAATGCTGCAGCCCTTCCTGCTCTGCCAGCACTTTGTGTTGGCTGTTCTGTGCTTCTGGTGAGCACATGAGCACCTGCAGCAGCCTTGCAAGGCACTGGGGTGCTTTATGTTGGGTGGATCTGATGCTTGTTGGGCACGGACAGGAGGTCAGCCATAGAGGCACCCAGTGGCCCAGACTCTGCCCAGGGTGCTGCCCTCCTTCGTGGACATTCCTCTGCTTTGCTGCAGCTCCAGCAGGGAGCGTTGAGGCCTTTTGATGCCATGCAGGTGGCTGTTAGTCTGGTGCCAAGTTAGTTCCTGCTTTGCTTTCACCTTCCTGCTCTATGGAGTCTATTATTCATCGCGGACTCTTCTCCCATTCACTGCTGTGGAGCTGTACACCCCTCGCCTCCTGTTCTTAACATGGAAGCAATACCTTGCCAGGGAGTGCAAGATTGTGTTGAAAAAGGAAAACAATTTACTTGTCTCAGGTTATGTCATTCTTTCTTTTGGTTTTGGGTTGGTTTTTCTTTTTAGTATTCACTATATATCTTTCATCTGATAAAAATGCAGTAGCCTTTAAATAAAAAACCCTGCTGTTCTGATGTATTGTGTGCTCTGCTGCAATCCGAAGGAGCTGAGAACGTTAAACCTGCAAATACAGAAGAGTTTTGAGGGATAAAAGAGGTTTGAGTCCTTGAGCCCTCGAAAAGCCAAAGAGCATCAGAGGAGAGCACAGCTGTGTTTGTCACTGGGATGCACACCTGAGGCTTATCACTGCCATGTGAGGGTTGGCTCCATGCTGAGCACAACAGCAAGGTCCCATCCAGCTGAGCTGCTCTGCTCCACTGCTGGAGAATAATCGATGCACTCTGGCCATTTGGACTTCTCTAGGAAAGAAACATAGATAACGAAACAAATGACTGTTATTTGTATCACAGTTGAATCAGCAGTGTCACACAGATGACTCTGGGTTCACATATTTAATTATAGTAAAAATGTAGAGAATAACAGACTGAAACAAAAAAAACGCTGCTGCTTTCTGCAGTTTTATGGCTTTATCTGGTGCGTTTAGCAGCCCCATAATCCATGCTGTGGTCTCGGCTGTATGTCAGTTGATACATTCCTTGTTTTATGGATCACTGGAAGATAATTCTGTTGTTTTCCATTGGACCTGTAGTAAATATATGTCAGGATTTTTCCGGTGCTGCATACTCCAGTTTCCAGCTGCTGTATTAATTTCTGTCAAGTACTTTGGCTTCATGCTTGTTCCAGAGATGGTCTGTTTTCTTGCTGGGTTAAATCGTTAATCCAGATCCTATTTTTTCCAAACTAAAAGAAATTATTTGAAATGTGCATTCGAGAGTATTTTCCTCGTGTCTTTTCTATCCCTTCTAAAAGAAAAGAAGCAGCCCTCTTGCAGTGCCTCAGAGCTGATGCAGTGCGTTTGCTTTAAATGCACACATGTGCTTTGTAGCTTTTAAGGCTTGTGACAAAGCACAGCATTGAGCTGCAGAGCCGCAGCAGAGTCAGTCTGCAGAAGAGAGCTGTGCACTCCAATCCCAGCCCTGTATTTGATAAATCTGATATTTTTGGCTTGAGGTAAAAAGGCATTTGGGGCTGATTTGGGAATTTAAGATACTTCACCTTGATGATGTGCCAACGCATTGCCTGTATGGTGTAGCTCAGGTAGCTCATGGTTCTACCTGGAGCTCCTGAGCTGTATGCAGCAGCATGAACACCCTCACAGTGCTACATTGCTGTGTTTTTAACATGCAAAAATCCTAGCAACACAGCTAATAGTTCACCTATTAGCAGCTGTGCTGTGCAGGTGCCAGCCCTCCATCAGCAGTGGCACGCTCACATCCTGCTGAGTTCCTCTTGGGATCTTTCTCAGTCACGAATGTTGCTGTTGTGTTCTGTTTTGGATGGGTTGCTGTCTCGTTTTGTTGTTCTGTACATCTCTGACACAGCCAGGATGGCTGTTTCAGGACTTTATTTTCGCTGCGTGTTTTGGAAGTCTGCTGGTTAAAAGCCTGGAAAATGAGGTTTATTTCAATGTCACGGAAATGCAGACAAAATGGGAAGCTGTTTGAGATTCTCCTAATTGAGCTCTTTCCAATTCACTGAGAAGAAGTTGGTGCCAATTGCTCTATAAATAGTAATTCTGCTTAATAACAGCAAGTTTCTGATTGAACCTACAGGTACATTGCCCATGACCATCACCCCCATTTTATCAGCCTGGGCACCTATCGGGATGCTATGGCAAGGCAGCCTGCAACGTGTTTTCTCCTGCTGTCTTGTAACCAGGGGCCTGAGGTCACGTGCAGCAGAGATTCACTGTCTGCCTGCAGCAGTCTTTGTGCTGCTGTCCCCTTGCTGCACACTGCCAACCCATGCCAACATCCAGAGAAGTGTGGGTGCCCATCCATGGAGGTGCCCAAAGCAGCCTGATCTGCTGGGAGCACCCAGCCTGTGGCAGGGCTTGGAACTCAGTGACCTTGAAAGTCCCTTCCAATGCAAGCCGTTCTGTGAACCCATGAGGAGCTGCTGGCACTCTGGGCTGTGCACTCTGTGCTCCCTGAGCTCCTGCAGCCCCAGGGGCAGAGCGCAGCCCGGCTGCAGGTGGTAATGCTGCAGTGCTGAGCCCAACGGCCACCGCCAAGAGGCCTTGCCAAGAGTGCTGACTTGTTTGTCTGTCTTCACGCGGGGTCTGCATGCATACTAAGTAGTTCCTCTATGAAAAATCCTTGAATTCCAAAGCTGCTATTCACAGTAATTGCACTTTAAGAGGAAAGAAGGGCATTGCAGTTTTGTTCCTTACAGTGCTCTCTGCACAGTGTCTTCTATAACACCTAAATAAAGCTCAGGCACTTGCCTTGCTTTGTAGTCATGCTTTCCCCTGGTAATATATTTTTTTTTTTTGAGACATGAAAACATTATGACATTAAAGGCATCCTCAGTCTGTGCAGGTTCTGTACAAAAATGGAAGGGTGATCAGAGGCAGAGAAAGGTAACACTTTGAACGAGGGACTTTTCAGCTGCTTGGTGTCACCAGGGACAGCAGGACAGCTGCTTGGGCTGGTATGGAAAAGCTGATGCTGTGCCCCCTGCACCAACACCTGCACAGCACAGCCCACGTTCTTCCCCTGGATTGCAGGTCACTGATAATATACTGCTAAGCCTTTCTTGCTGTAGTTGAAGGTGGTTATTTATTGATCTGCTCTTGGCAGCTGGTAAAATGCCAGCTTTCAGCATTAGCTACTGGCCTCGTTTTATTTAAACCTTGTAAAATTTCATCATTTCTCTTCAGCAGCGAGAATGTGTAAATGTTTCTCCTGGAATAGTTTAGAATAAGGCTTTTGACCTTCTTCTGCTCTAAACCTTAACAACACTCTTACGGTTTCAAAAAAGAATCATGAGAAGTTCCCTCTGGTGCCCTTCCTGTGGCCTTCTGGGTTGGTGGCCAATCTGTAGCAGGGCTGTCTTGAAGGGAGCGTGGTGACATTGGGAGCAAAAATTAATAATTACTACCAGCTCAGACCAAATCTTTGGTTTTGAGATTTCTTTTTTTGTTTGTTTGTTTTGTGATTTATTTTTATTTTTGTAGTGGCAACAAAACATCCCTGTATCCTTAGACAGCAAAGTGTGAAGTTTGTTGTTTGGAATACCTGCGTGCTGATGGCTCTTGCAGTGCGAGAGAAGGTGCAGGAAAACATCTGGCTGGGGGTTGCTATTTTGACACAGGAGTGTTGGAGAGCACTGCTGGGTTTCTTTGTACTACCTGCAGAAATGGAGACAGATGGGGCAAGAATTGCAGAGCCTATTAAAAATCAACCTTCCTGTGTTATTAATATTCTTTTCCACATGTAGATCTCTCTGTAGTGATAAAAGGAACGTTTACAGACTGTTGTAATGAAATATCCTGACTGCTGTTACTATGAGTAGGCTCATTCTGTAAGTAGGCCATTCCATGATTCATTTATAAGGAGTTTCTTGAGTCAACTCCAGGAGTGTCACTTCTGATGGACAGTGCATTTACCCATTACTCTTTGAGAATATTCTGTGGACTGTTAAATTTGTTGTCATTCCAAGTCATCCATCTGTTCGGCATCTATTTTCCTATTATTTGACCCACGTTACCTTTTTGGATCCATTCATAGGCTTGCAGAGTGTTCCAGCATAGCTGCACAGTGCTCCCAAGGAAGGCTGGGCACCCCAAGTGATACCCAGTGCAGGTCCTGCTGAGAGCTGAACTGGTGGGATGCACTCATCCACATCCCTGCTGTGAGATAGTGAGATATGGTGCTAAATTCCATTCAGTAATTGCCCTAATGAGTGTTGGAGGTGAGTTGCAATTGCCATTCCAGTGTAATTCAGCTTCCACGCGTGGCAGCTCCTCATAGAACAACAGGTTCTGTGCACCTTCTTCTGTCTTGTGATGCTACACGTTTCTCTTGGTGAGGCTGATTGTCGATTTGATTTGGGTTTTGCTGCTGAGAAGTGCCATGCTTTGATAGCATGGAACAGCCTTCGGAGCAGATTGTGGAGTAGTTTTTTTTTCTGCTTTATTTTTATTTCAAGTTTGCTGGGCGTTTTGCTTGTCTCTAGATCCTGCAGTACTGCAGAAAAGGCACTGGGTCTCTGTGTACAAAACAGAGGCACCAGGCCTAACGCTGGCCTTTCCATTGCTCACACTTATGGTAAGAACCAGATAGATCCCGAGAGAAGAGGTAGTGTAATATACAACAGCAGATTTCAGCAGGGTCTAAGCAGATGGAAGCAGGAAATGAGGAGCAGTGACAAACATGACACGCCTTGTATTCTTTGCAATAAATTCATCTGAATGCTGAGTTGCTGTGTATATGTGCAAAATCTGTCTCCCTCTAATTTTAGGGCTGCGATTTATTTTATTTGGCATCTATATAGCCGTTGGCTTGTCCCCTATGGCTGTAGGCATAAAAAAATACTTTTTGCAGTTTGTTTGCTGTTGTGTATTTCTTTGCAGCAATTAAGTGTTTTAATTCTTTTTTTTTTTTTCCTCCTAACAGTTGTTTCTGCTTTTAATTCTCTTGTGTCTGACCCGTGTGCCTTTGCTGCAAATGTTACCACTGCTGTGCATTGGCAAGGAAAGTTTCACTGGTGCCATGGAGGGGAGGATGAAAGCTCAGGCTTTGCTTTGGTGCTGTTTTGTGACAGCAGCATGGCTGCACGCAGGGATGGTGAGCAGTGGTGAGGTCAGAGCACTGCCCAGGTTCCATTCCCAGGCTGTAGCACCAGGCCTTCAGACCCAGTGCCCTCCAAAACCGATTATGGTTATTTTGTGGCATCCAGAGCTGCTTGTTAAGAATAAAACTATTGAAATTCAGTAGCGCTAATCAAGAGCCAAGTAACTCTGTGCAGTAAGTTATGAGCAGTGAAAGGTGAGAATTATGAAGAAAAGTCATGGTCCAGGAAGAAACCCCAACATAATGGGAATTGAAAGTAATGCTGAGAGCTGGCTGTGTGTAGTTACTCAAGCAGGGAGTAGGGAATGTGGTTGTTCTTGAAAGAATTTGTGTTAGGGGAGCCTACTGATGTACTGCTATACGGACTGCACAGAGAGGTTGTGGATACCCCATCATAGAATCTGGGAATGGCCTGGGTTGCAAAGGATGCTCATCCAGTTCCAACCCCCTGCTGTGTGCAGGTCACCAACCAGCAGCCCAGGCTGCCCAGAGCCACATCCAGCCTGGCCTTGAATGCCTGCAGGGATGGGGCATCCACAGCCTCCTTGGGCAACCTGTTCCAGTGCCTCACCACCCTCTGGGGGAAAAACTTTCTCCTAAGATCCAACCTAAGCCTCCCCTGTCTCAGTTTAAAACCATTGCCCCTTGTTCTATCACTAAGGCCATGCTGGATGTGGCTCTGAGCAGCCTGATCTAGTGGTTTGCAACCCTGCCTGTGGCAGTGGATTGAAACTAGATGACCTTTAAGGTCCTGTCCAATCCAGGCCATTCTACATTTCACCCAGGTACAGCTGCTGAGGAACAGGCTGAGCCCACACTTACTGCTGCTGATGGGACTCAGCCTGAAAGGCTCTGCTGGGAGATGGGTGCAGCACAAGCCTGGCATCCCACCAGAGTCCCGGGGTGCTCATGGGGCATCCCTGCATGTGCAAGGTCTGTGAGGGTGCTGAGAAGGACTTGTGTGGAGCTGGAAAGCCAGGAATCCAAAACAAGAATTTGGGGCATGTTCGGAGGTGTGGTTCAGCCCCATCATCAGAGGTCATCAGGGCTTGTTGTGACAAACCTGAGTGTCAGGATCTCCATGCTCTACATATGGGTATGTAGCAGGAAATACCAGTGACAAAGCAGCACAGTTTACTCAGTCAGCTAATTCCACCTTCCATTAGAACAAAGTGAAGAATGCTGCAGATTGGGAGCATGCTTTCATAGCAATCAGTACTTAAATTATTTTTCTCCTTACACCACCTGTTCTGGCAGCTAACAACAATACAGAATTTTATATTGTGTTATTACTTGAAAATGGAAACAAATGAAACAAGGCTGCGTGGCAGTCATTGCCATTCTGTGCTCTCCGTTCTCCCATGGCAGGTCTCTATTAGCCATCATCACCAGCAGTGCAGGCAGGGCTGCTGCTTCTCATGCTGGTGGGCAAACGTTTGCATTGTAGCTCATTGACTCCAGGAAATCATAGTAGAATTGAGACTGCTTATTGCTGTGACTATTTGCTTACTTTAAGTTTGCAGGGACTGATTGAATCTGCAGATGAAGAGCCCAATATTTTCAGTACAAGTATTGGATTCATCAATCTTCAGTTCATCCCTTTGTTAAAATTTCACGCTCTGTGAAGAAAAGACTGTAGATGAGGTAACCAAAATGTAGAACAACTTGTTTGATCATCGCTCCCACTGATTTTCCTAGCGCTGAATTATCCTGGCTTAGGCAGTGCATGTGCTCTGTTGTGTACAGTGCAGCCTCACTGGCTGGTGATCCTGCAGGTAGGATGTGGGGTTACTGTCAGCAGAATTTTGAGTAGGAGCACGAAATGGATTCTCACTTCCAGAAATCAAACTAGTTCCTTACACCTGGGGGCTGCTGGAGGTCATTCCGTGGGTTCAATTGCAATAATGACAGGTTTCATTGCAACACATGGCCTTGCTGTGGCAGCCTTGGCATGGATGCATGCTGAACGGCTACTGTTTGTTACTGCATCCCTTCCTGGCATCAGTGTCCCTAAGGACAGCAGCACAGCAAATTCTTGTTGAGCATAAGTGTAAATTAGAAGCAAATCCTTGATGACTATGTGATGATTCTAGCAGGCTTTAGTGTATATTAAAGACTGAGCTCACAGGGCTATTAATATCAATTAAATCAGTAACCAACACCAAAGAGGATTTTATTTCAATTCCCAGGTAACTTAGAGAAACAATATTGATTTTTTTTTTTTTTTTTTTTTCCAGTGGCCACGACCTGCCCGTTGTGTTCAGAGCATTTTTTCCTACTTTGCTGAAATCCTTCACCTTATCCAGAACTCCTCAGTCACTGACGTGCTTTATTTTGTGTGGGTTCGTGGTGTATGTTAAATGTCAGAAGAACTGTTTAAATAGAGCACCGTGATGATGTAAGATTTGGTGCTTGCTGGACCAATTGTTTCATGCTGAGTGATTCTGGATCTCTGCAGAATCCATTCTGAGTGATGGGCTCAGAAAAACGAGGTAGGAAATAAGCAGAGGAACAGTAGTGTGTTTGGTGTTTGGGGTGAAGTACTGTTAAGAAGTGTATTTTAACATGGAAAAAGAGGAATTTTCAATAGTGCCTTAATGTGCTTTTGGAGAAAACAGAATAACAAAATAATTCATTCGCTTGTATTTTTTAATTTGTAAATCAAATAGGAGTTACAAAGCATAAAATCGTGAGAATGCTGGTTACATTCTCCCTGTTTACCAGTTGACAGTGCTGATTTGGCCATTGTTCAGTATGACTTAAGAAATATAAATTTGGATGTGTTTCAGATGTTTTGGGCACTGCTTGCTTAATGTGAATAATATGCCTCAGGAAAACTTGCAGTCCGCTGATTTAAGCTTAGAATCCGAGCAAGCCATCCAACAGAACCACAAGAATTAGATTTAGAAACAATTTTGCTGCACGCTCCCAATCAACCTTTTTCTTAGAAAATGGTCTAATTAAGAACAAAAATAGCCATTACAAAATCATGTTCCATTGCCATTTCCTTTTGCTTCCTCACTCAGCTTTGCTGGAAAACAAAACCTCGTTCTGCCAGCACTGAGCACCAGGGCTGGTGCTGCCCTTATGTGAGGTTTGTGCTCCTTGTGCTGCTGCAGCTTCGCAGAGCTGTTTGTTCTGCAGCCACTTAGTGTACGACCTTGAGCAAGGCAGCAAGGGCTAAATTTTTCAGGAAGTGGTCTTTAATTAGGCGAATTTCTGTTCACTGCTGTATGCCTTGGGGCTGCTTGAAGCGGGATGCTGGAAAAATGCATTTATTGGGCCTTGCTTGTCTGAGAAGTCAGAATTGCATGAATAAAGAAAATGCTGTGACCTTGGCTGCTTGCTTTAGAAGCAGTACAAATCAGTGTGTGGTAGTGAACCTGTGGTGGTGTTGCAGAGTGGTGGGGCTGGTTGGAAGGACGTGGCTGAGGAGCTGAGAGCTGCCATGTGCTCACTCCCAGGCTCTCTTAGTACTCAGCAGCTCCTGGTTGTCCTTTGGTTCCCCACCAAATGCACCCTGAGTGCAGGAAGCACAAGTCCTATCTGTAGATGTGTTGGCTGAGCCCCACCTCCTTGAGCTGCCTCATTGCAGGGTGCAGTCCCACCACCTGTCCATGTCTGTGTCCATCTCCTGCTGGGACTATGGACCCACACTCAAAGCATGCCAGTGAGTGGGGAGCACCATCTCCTGCTGGCAGCCACGATGTGCTGCTCTTCATTAAGCACGTCCCCCAAATCTGTGCCCTCAGAGCATGTGGTCACTTACAATGTTTGGTACAGTCAGTGGCTGCTGCATCTTATTCTTCCTCATCTCTGGAGCAGTTGGATAGGCAGAGGGTTCTGAAATAGGCAAGAAGTGGCTCTCTTTGTTAGTTCTAATCTGTGTAATGGTTGGTATGCTTCATAAATAAAGGGATATGCCTGCAACTTTCTAGGTCCTCTGCAGGCAGAAAGCTGGAAGGTCATTCCGTACAAGTTTGCTGTTTTCTGAAAGCTAGAGCCTAAAATGGCAAGTCCTGATGTGACAAGACAAATACCAGCAGAAGAAAACAAATGAAAGAAAATACCCCAAATATTTGTACTGTTTCCATGACTTTAAATTATATATTTAAAAAAAAAAAATCTCTCATTCTACCTGGCTGCCATGGAGCAGCTGTGCCAGCAGCCATCAGCCCACTGGTGCATGTGGTTTGATGGAGAGCACTCATTGGAAATGTGTAACTGACTGCTGCCAGGGAACTTCTCACAGGCTTTACCTGATGGGGGTCACTCATGTGAGTCTGCTGTCCTTTTTTTATGTGTGTAGAAGCTTCCAGTTCTGGACAACCTTTTGGAAAAGTCCTGGAGAGCCGAATACAGCTGCAAAGCCTGTGGCAGGCTATTTAAAGACATAATAGAGCATGGCACAAAAGTAAGACCTTTCTCTGGGCTCTCTAATGCAATTATATAGCAAGTATGTAACTTTATCAGGACTATTGTTGAGCTTTCAAAAATTCTATAGAAAAGTTGGTATTTTCTGCTCCTTTAATAGCAGGTCGGTGTGTGCATGTGGCTGCCAGTTTTATTGGCAGCTTTATTAACTTCCTTGCTGCCACAGCAAGAGCTGAGAAACAGGACTTGTTTCTCTCCATTTCAGACTGTTTTTTTCCCTGGTTTTGCTTCTTCACTTCAAGCTGCACTGTCCCAGAATCCCAGCTGGAGCCAGCACCCTATTGCACTAAGTGCTATACGTTAAAGGAGCAGTGTGTAATGTAGTAAATAATGCTACAGGTGTGGATAAAACTGTAGCCTTTTCCTTTTTTCCTCCGCTGTTTGGTCTATTGCATGTGTATTCTGTGTCTGTCTGATGAGGAAACATTTAGATCTGATTCGTCAGATTTGTCAAGGTAAAGGTGATCCTAATGTGAAATAGAAAGTCTCACTGATTTCTTGAGGCTGCTCGTTAGTGAAAGAGAAGCATTGATATGCAGTAATGAATTGAATTCATAATGTAGTAAACATGCATATGTTGTTTTTCCAGGTGAGTTCAAAGATTGTCACTGCAATATCATCACGGCAAACACTTCTCAGGAGTTCTTACTTCACCACGTGAGTTAACCAGATGTATTACCAGCAAAGTCCTGGGGATGCCAGCAGTGTGGGGTGTGATTTCCAGTGTAGCATTGAAGAGAGGTTTCAAGAAGGCATGTGCTGGCAGGGAGGAGGCCGACCAGCCAGAGGTAAAATGATTAATAAATAATTTTTATGTAAGAAAAGAAGCATTTCTGAAATGTCAGTAGCTACTACATAAATACACGTGCCATTATTTGACACTGCAGTGATAAATCCATGCTGTGTGACAGAATTATGGTCTGAGCAATGAGTTGTGATGTCATGGAACAGAAGTTGGACCAGTCATTAGAAGATGAAAGCGGATGGAGTGCTTTTACGGTCAGAGGAGAAGGCAGGAGTTGTACGCAGGGCTTTCTGGCCTCCAGAATCCTTGTCCATAACCATACTAAGAGTGCTGCATGCTGGACATGCTTTCTCCTTCATGCTGATGTTATGTACAGCCTCCGGTCAGCGCGAGTCAGAAATAAGGGGAGATGCCTTCTCAGCTGGTCACATAAATACTTCATTGCTGAGAAATTACATCATTCAGCTTATATTTGGAGTAAGGCGTTCAAAAATTCTGTGTCACCCAAAATGTTGAATTTGCTTCAGTTTTCTTGTCAGTGAGTACATGTGAGGTAACCATTTGCTTTCTGTGGCAATATTGATTGCTGTAAATAATAACACTCCAAGCAGATGAAAACTTTTGCTCCAAAAAGAAATACTCAGAGCAGCCAAAGGGAAAGAAAGCCATCAGCAAGCTCAGGGCAGCAGTTACCAGTGGAATCTCCAAACAGGTTGGAAAAGTAAGGCTTACTGACTGGTAGCGATGGGTGTCTTAGCATTGTCAGCAGCTATTGCTTCATTCCTTAGGACCACATGTGGTGATAAGGCATGAATTTAAATCCGGTTCTGGAAAACACAATTGGTGCCCATGTGGCACAGTGTGACACAGAAGTCAGCCAGGGTAGGTAAGGATCTTGTGCTGGCCATGTGTACGTTCATCTTCTCTAGTGCCCAGTGCCCATGTATGCAGATTCTGCTCAAGTTAGTTATGTTCTCTGGGATCAGCGGCCACTGGAGTCAGTAGTTACTCATTCTTCTCTTTTGACAAGGATGTATAATCTTTTTGTTACCGGCATTATGTGTCTGGAGCATGCAAATTCATCTTTTGACAAGCGTGGCAGTGCTTGTAAATAGCACTTACACGAGTGCTTGTATGTCTGACTGTGGGTCATCCAGAAGCAAAGAACTTGCAAGGGTGTTGTTTCTGTCTAACAAAACCTTATTTATTGTAGTGGCAAAGTATGAGGGAAAGTCAGTGCTGGCAAATTCCTCTGTTTTCTTAAAACTGCATTAATTTCTTTCTTCCCACTCCTTCACCTTTGTAACCACAACCTTCCTGCCTAGCATGGAAGCACCTCTCTCCAGGACCAGGTTACAAGGCACAGAGGACTGCTTCCATGCATTTGAGGGATGTTCTACCCTAGGCTTTCCGTGGAGCAAGAGCTGCAGGGCACCGTGTGCCATTCTGCCCTCTGCACCTCCATAAGCAGCCAAAGGTCTCTGATCAATGAGCGGGTTCTGTGTGCTCCTCTGCTCCTGCTGGGACACAGCAGTGGCTGGAGGGGATGGATGGTGGGGAAGCTGTCCAGCTTGTGGATGGGGAGCTGAGGATAAACCTGCTCCCAAATCGGGTACCTTCGTTTTCTCACCAGAACTGAGAGTTCACGCTAAATAAGCAGTCAGTGTCCTTAGGGTGATTTTAATGATCCTGCATAGCTAACCAAGGCTGTCAGCAAACTGGGATTTCTGCTCCAGGGTGAGATGTTTCGGGCTGGAGATTGTTGCTGGCAGTGCTGGCAGAGGCTGTGGTTTTCAGGCCTGGGCTGTGGAAGTGCTTCCTGAGCTATTCATCTCTGCCCTGCGCACAGAAGCCATGTTTGGGGATCTGTCTGCCTCTTTCAGGGCACCGGCTGAACTGCAAAGAGCATAAAAGCTTCCCTTCACTTTTCTCTGGTGCCACCGCAGTAGCTGGCAGCCGAGTGAATGTGTGAGTGTGTGTGTGAGGGCAGCTGGGCACAGAGGGCCAATTCACAGCCTCGCCAGCCCCTGCTCTGCTTTGTTGGAGAGCCAGGGCCTGCCCAGGAGAGGACAGATTTCCTGGCTCCTTCCCCTCTCCAGCTGCACCGCGCAGAACCTGTTAACATGCATTGATGTGCCACTGCGGATAGGCCAGATGCAGGGCAGAAAAGCACGAGGAAGCCCACACTGACATCACTTGTGGGCTCATCTCACAGCTTTTAGCAACTTCTCCCAAATCAATTGCTCCCCAAACTTTTCCATCTCCATCCAGAAGCACGCGTCAGCTGGAGCTCTGAGTCTGCAGTCGTGTCCCCTGCTGTATGTGTGGCACTGGAGCCTGTTTCTGCTTTCTCGTGCAGCTTTGGCCAACTGCTGCCGGTTTCCTTTGGCACGGACAGGCACTGTGATCCTCAGCTGGGAGCCTTTCATTTGGGATTGCAAACTTTGGAGAGAAGGCACTGAAAGAGTTCAGTGTAAAATTAAAAGCCTGCTTGGAGAGATTTCTGATGCTGACCGATTAACAGCAACAATCTCTTTGCTTTCAGTGCTTAATGGGATGCATTAATTAAGCAAGGGATGAGTGTGGATGGGAAAATGGAGTGTAATTGTGGGAATCAGCCTTAGCTCTCAAAGTGTGCAGGCTGTCCCTTGGTTTGTGAAGAACATTCTTTCGTAGACACCTTAGGCTCTGCTTTCCAAAATATAAAAAGGCCTTTGCATTCTGAAAGCACCAATGGTTCTGTTAATTTTTTTTCTATGAACCAATTTCATCTGCTGAGCAGCAGCACACAGCCCTCACCCTGCACCCGTTTCATTACTGACTGCTGCTACCTGCTCTGAGAAGTCAGTATACAGTTCTGATTTTTTTTATGTGGACACGAACATGGCCGTGGTATCGTTGTGGATGAGTGCTGAAATGAGCGTGTTATTGTCAGGGCTTTTTGACAAATGTCATTTTGAAAGCATTTCTGGGAGGGTTTGTTGTTTTTTGGTGTTTTTTTTTTTGGAGTTATTGTTTCTCTTCTGTTCTGACAGTTGGCAAACATCAAAAAAGATCTGCTAAGGAGACAGATGCTGACTTAGTGGGTACACAGTTTGAATGACAAACCAAGATCAACAGATCATTATTTTTCACAGCAAGCAAAGAAGAGCTGAGAGAAATGGCTCATCTTGGTGCCAACCTGTGCCAGAAACATCTCTCATATTCCAAAATGCCACACAACAGGAGAGGCTCTGCGTTGCACCGTTTTGGGGTTTTGCTCTGTTTGATTGCAATTATGTTCTTTTTCCATTTGGGCCACTACCAGTTGGCTCAAAGCACTGCCATTGCAAAAAGGAGACTGATCACCTCATCTGCTCCGATTCCAATCAGAGGTAATCAGTTGTTGTATGTGGATTCAGTTAATAACAGTGGTAATTCCACATAACAGTCGTTTTATACTTCTGTGTGCAGCTTCTGAGGTTTGAGTGCTGCTGGATTGATAAACTCAGCATATTTTTCTGCAAGTCACTGGAACAGGCTGCCCAAGGAGGCCGTGGATGCCCTGGAGGCATTCAAGGCCGGGCTGGATGTGGCTCTGGGCAGCCTGGGCTGCTGGTTGGTGACCTGCACACAGCAGGAGGTGGAAACTTGATGATCATTGCTGTCCTTTTCAACCCAGGCTGTTCTGTGACTCTATCAAGTCCTGCACTTGTGCACAGCAGCAGATGATTTGCCCAACGCCTTTCCTGTCCTGGTCCTGGAAGGTTTCTTTGAGCAGCACAGCCGTGTAACAGAACGTGAGTGCGATGTGCCAAGCCATTGGGAAGCCTGTGTATTCTTTTACACTTTGAACACAGCAGTAGTACTGGTTAGGCTATAATTACTTGTCTGCTTGTGCTAAACTAAAGGATTGTTGTGTTACTTAAAAAGCCGAGTTTTCAAATGCAGGTGATTAATTGCATAACCTGCTCTATTGGTCCCTCAGATGGAATCTGATCACTGGGATCCCACCTGTGGTTAAGGGATCTCCCACATATGTGGCCATGTGCTGCTGCAGGCTGTGGCCGTGTGAATCCAACTGATGCTGCAGAAGGTCCCCATTTTTCCTCGATCTCTTCTTGCTTTTATTCTTTTTGTAACTACGTGACAATTTAAGTCTCCTTAGTGTGAGCCAATAATGGTGTGAGCTAGCTAGGCTAGCCCCAGTCACTGTGAAGGCAAACAGGCAGGTCAGCCCTTGTCTTCTGGCTGGAGCAGAGAAATGTCCTCACTGTGTTCTCGTTACTGTCAGTAGGCAGTGGAGTGCAAGCAGGCGACCAACCAGGGTGATCTCAGGTTGTTGCTTCTGAGTCACGGCAGTCATTTTCAGCTCAATGTTTCTTGAGCACCAGAAGGTTCTAAATGGTGGATTGAAACTTCTGAGCAGCTCCCATTGTGGGTGTGCTTGCTCCCAAGTTAGAAATGCGGGTTACAGGCCAAGTGCTCTGTTGTGACTCTGACAGATGCATCTTTCTCTTTCACTATTAGCTATAAAAAAAAGAAAAAAAATTACAAAAAGGCAAAACTGGTGCTGCCCTCCCTCCTTTGCTGGGATCAGCACAGGCTGACACAAGCCCGCCTCTGTTACTTCTGAACCTGTTGTTTTCTCTGGTAGGGCAGCATCTTTGAGCATAACTGCATCTGCTGAAAGTAGAGAATAAACCAGTTTGCTCTCATTGTCTGTGTGTGACTCTGGGATGTGAGAGGAGCAGGCTGTGGGAGGAGGGCAGCTCTGCTCCTTTGGCCCCGAGTGCCTCCATGGGGAGTTCTGGTGATGAATTGACAACCTGTGAAATCATGACGTCTGCACCCAATCACACCGCTGACCTTCCTGCATCTTTCCCACTGCCTGCTGCTCAAATTTCAGCATGGAAGAGAGTAAGTGGAGTTGGTTGCTGGGGCTGGAAATGGCTTTCTGCAAGTAAAGGCAGCTCCAAAACTGTGCTGTGTATGGAGAGCACAGCCTTTGTTTTGAAGTACTGCAAGGCAGTACAGGATTTCAGGAGAGGTGTTGTTTTGCCA